CATTTGTTTAATACTTGTTAAACTAAGCGCAATTATTTGATGCCAATATTATGAAGAAAACAATTATTTCAAACAACTTTGAGCTACTTTCATTAATTGTTAAGGAATACTATTTTTATTATTTTCATGACCAGCCTTGTTGAAAAATTTAAAAAAAGAATCAGTTTGATCAAGCAATATGTTTAATAACATGTAATTGAACCAGAGTAAATTTAGCATTGTTAAGAGGTTGTATTGTGTCAGGATTGATGGGCACTGCATAGCTCCGACGAGCTAACTCTGTTATCTCCAAACAAATAAAAGATTTTGTCAACATCCAGTCCAGACAACAACAGCTGCTCAGCCGCTTGCAGGCTTGAGTGCATCGACCTGAGTGCAGGAAACCTTTGGTGACACGTTGAAGATCTAGAGTGCGAAAACAAAACAAACAAAAAATGCTCACCTTGGATTGGGTCAGTCACCTTATCCCTGTCATTATCTCAGGACATGTGTCGGAGATTAGCATAATGGTTTTGCAAGGCAAACTTTATTTTTCCATCCTGTACTTTTAAATCTAACTTCATCCGCTGTGTCGTACACCTTAACAAGATGCACATTTTCCTGGGGGGGGGGGGGTGGTATGTGTTAGTCAGATGGAGAGAGGCGCTGTTTGAAAGTTTTAGGTCGCGTTATCTTGCGTGGCGTGGAGTCGCGGGGCCAAACCAGAGCAGCGGCGTGGCGCGGCGTGGCGCACCCCGCGGCCTAATCTCCCTACGGACGGGTCACGACCTCGCGGGGGAAGGGGTGGCGGAGGGGGGCCAGGAGGAGGTGGAGTAGACAAGGTGTAGCGGGGTGGGAGGGGCGGTCAGGAGGAGCAGCAGCAGCAGCGCCCGCTCGCTCTCGCGCACAGCACAGCCTTAGGTGTGCGACTTGACACCTTTCCAAGGGCGTAACTGTCGCCTCGCCTTTGCCCGCCCCCGTCAAGGCTGTGGTGAGGTTGGTTGGCGAGCGGGCCGTCGTGGCGAGGGCCCTGGCGATTAGCGGGCACACGGGCCGAGTACGTGCGGTGGTATTGATTGTTGATAACGCCGGTGGTATTGATATTGAATTCCCGGAGCGCCGCGGTACGGCACGGACGGCACCCCATCCATTACGTACCTCCCAGCCCCGCCGCCGGTGCGCTCGCTCGGTGTGATTGCGAGGATTTCCCCGGGGTGGAGGAGGTGAGGTGGAGCGGGGGAATCAATTCCCACGATGTGCCCAGTTTTTTTGCTGCGTGTGGTTTTGTCCGCGCGGGCGCACCTGCCGTTGTCGCGGGGCGGGGCGGGTGTGCGCGACACTCGGCGACACTTTTTGGACGCGATCCGCGACGTCGTCGTCGGCGGCGGCGGCCGGTATTTCGGGGGGTATGGGTATGCAGTGCAAATTGGCAAGGCGTATCGCGTCGGCGGCGGCGTCGCGGTGCGCGGTGCGGCCGCGTGACGATGAGAATCGTTCATCACCCGGCGGGCTTTAGCGCGCGGGGCGCCAAAAATAAAATGAAAACACGACTGGCGGGCGTGACTTACGGGCTGGCTGCGCCTACCGCGCCTCCTCGTCCTCCTGCTCGAGCGCCGCCGCGAGCTCTCCTAGACTGGTTCTCTACACACCTGTCCGGCCGAAAGCTTATCGTGCTGGAACTACTCTCGTTTTATTCAACTCCTCGCTGCTGCTGCTTGTGTTTGCATCTAGTTGTTTTCCTCGCTGTTTTTCCCTCGTTTGCTGCTCAGTAGGGGCTGGCGTAGAGGCGTGACGGGCGGCCTTGCGGGGCTGATGACCGCGGGGCCGGCGCGACCTGTGACCGGTGGTGGCCACCCGTCCCGCGCTCGCTAGTGATGCGTGGCTCGCGAAGGTTGGCAACCAGCGGCGAAGAGCAGGTGCGAGCAGGTGTCCGGGACTCGCACTTCCGTCCGCCAGCGCTGCAATTGCACGGCTCTCCACCCCCACGCCCTCCCCCGCCCTACCTCGACCGCCCCTGCCCACTGTCCGCCTTTGGACCCTCAGCGTAACCCTTCCTTTCCTGTCGCCCAAACAACCACCTGACTCGCCACACTCTTCCAACGAGGCCGTCAGCCACCTGCTCGTGTGCGCTGTGTTTACCAGGGTGGTAAATATGGAGGGGGACGGGTTGTCCATCGCGCGTCCGTCCAGCTGCGGCTGGAGAGGCAAGGGTGTTCGGCGTTGTAGTCGCGAACTCACCCCGCCCCGCCGCCCTTCGCTTATCGCCCCGAGTGAACCTGTTTGATCTCAGCTGGGCTGGGCGGGGCGGGGTGGCGGGGCGCGGCGGCCCATCGATTTGTCGGCCAGTCACGCGACGAACAGCTCGATACTAAATGTGGCGGTTCGTGTGCGCGAGCCACACCACGCCCCCTTGCCGCCCCTGGAGCTCTTAACGCCCCTCCGGAGGGGGTTGTCACAGCGGGGGGCCCCGCTCGCCGTCTTGCGGGGCGCGGTGGGGCGTGGCGGGCCGGGGACGAAGGTGACTGCCCCCCTTCTCTGGCACGGCGGCGGAGGTGGCCGTTCCCTTTCCTCCGCTTCCATATGAAATTGAGTTGGAAAGATATTCCGTCGGGACGGATGGTGTGGTCCGATTCCGATCACTTGGCAGACGACTCGTGCTCGCGCACGCAGCGTGGCGGGGCGTGGCGGGGCGGGGCGGGGCGGCTACGGACGGAGCGTTTCCACTGCGTTTCCAATTGAAAGGCGGCCGTTGTTGAATAATGAATCGAATCGTCGACCGAGTGCGTCGCATGTCTGTGGTGCGCGGCCTGCGCGGCCAGGACGGCGCGGGCGCAGCGGCGCGGACTGTACTACGACAGGCGCTCGATTGTTTGGCGAACTCTGGACCGCGGGGCCGCGGGGCGGAGCGGGATACTCGGGGCCGCGAGCCGAGCCGGACCGTGACACCCTGTGCCGCGGGCCGCCGCTGCTGCTGCTGCTGCTGCTGCTACGCGAGGCGAGGCCGCGCGCTGTTGGCGAATTGGGGGCAGTTTGCCCCTAAATACCCCCTCCTTGCCTCGCTCCGTCGAGTAGAGCCGGCTAGAGCCGCCCGTCTCGCGATCGTTCCTGCGAAAAGCCCTTTCTTTGCCCTCCGGCCGGTGGTGTCGCGCCGCTGAAGGCCGCGACCCACCGCGACATGTCGGCGAGAGGCCGCGACGCGATATCCATCGCGGACCTCCCTCCGCACGGCTCGGCGGGGGGCTCAAGGCACGTCACCCGCGGTTTGGGGTCGCTCGCGGAGAAGAGCACGGGGTGGTGGGGGATAAGAAGAAGAAGAATATGCCAGGTGTTTTCTCTGACGGGGTGCGGTGGGCGGGGCGGATCTGATGGTCGATGACCGGGTCTGGACGGGCGACAACCGGGAGGTAGCGGTGTCCGCCGTCGTCGACGACCCATAAGCGACTGGTGTATAGCGAGTCGCGGTTCATTACATCGGGGTCAGGGTGGCCTGCGCGCCGCGCGCCGCGCCGGGGAGGACTTCCCCATCGGCACGGCGTCTCATTGGCGTCGTCGAGGTTGGTGGACGCGGCCGTCGCGCCCTGCTGGGTCCGGCCCGGAGTGAGAGGGAGAGAGAGAGGGGCGGTTCTTCTTATACACATGGAGTTATCGAAGCACTCGGCGAGGGCGAATTTCTGGATGGTGTCAATTGCACGAGAGCGGCGTGGTGTTTTATTTGCAACAAGTCCCCGGAATCGCTTTTCCGTCGGCTTGACGAGTCCCAGCAGCAGCAGCAGCAGCAGCCGCCCCTCTCAACGTTGCACCACGCGCTGCGATGCGAGCCGCGGGCCGGCGCCGAGCTGCAGTCGGCGGGCCCCGAAGCTTTTGCTGCTTTTGCTGCTTTTGCCCGAAGAGCTGGGCGAGCTTTCGCAGGTGTATGGCGTGCGCTGCACTGCTCGGCGCCGCGAGACTCGTTTCCGGGAAGTTATGGAAGGGAGCTTTCTTCCGGCCCAGTGACTCCGCGTCGCTCTGCGTGTGTCGGACCGGCAAAGCTCTGGCCTTGTCGGCCGTTCGCCGAGTTCAGACTGACTGGAGTTAGGCTCTGGTGGCCACACCTGCGCCGCGGGCGCGCGCTGCTCTCCCAAGTCCACGCAATCGCACCTGTGCGTTTGAAGTGCAGGCTGGCGTGCAGTGGCGCCCGCCCGCCGGTGTGGCCAGGTGTGACCAGCACACGTCAGTGGCGTGTCTGGAGGAGTCTCGCCGGAGGTCGCCGACGAGGACGCGGCCGAGCAGCAGCGAGCACTTTCAGGGCGTAACTCGCGCACGGCCGGCCTTGGCGCCGCCACCGCTGCCGCAGCGGCTGCCTTGCCCCACGCGCTGTGCTGCAACTTATGAGAAATTTTGAGCGGTTCGTCGGAGTCATGTGTGTGTGTGTGTGTGG